CACGATTTGGCGGCCGCAGCAGCAGAGTTTGGTACTGCTAATAATAATAGCAACAACAGTATAATGTACATCCATCATCTTATTGTTGCCGTTGCCACCACTCAACAAAAGCTACAACAGATACAACAGATACAACTACTACGACTACTACTATATAGCAATATACCTCTTTTTTTGTCTTATCACAGAGCAGCACACAGAAGAGCACATACACATCTGTATATACATCTGTGTACAGAGACGCGGCGTGTCGTGCACACATGTACTAGTAGTACACATCTCCTAAACGTTCATCTTCAACGGCACACTGCCCAAAAAGATACGACGCTTGACATGCTTATAATAATAAGGTTGGGAGGAAAGTCGGGGGTGGGGAGACGGTGGAGGTATAGTAGCGAGACGGTGGAGGACGTGGAGAGACACAGATACACAGATACACAGATACGCCGATACAGAGAGGACGGAGAGGGTTTGGTGATATTTCTGGGAATGGACACAGAGCGACACAGAGTGACCGACAGCAGGACAGCAGGAGGGGGACGGACTCTGACACAGAGAGATTGTTCGTGATGTAATTAATCATCGTCATCATCATCATCATCGTCATCGCCATCATCCTCCTCCATCTGCAGGAGATGTTCCACTGATGCTATTATTATATCTATATGTCTAATACAGCAGCAGCTTTAGCAAAAGAGCGTCCTTGACGTAATTAATAAGGACACGCCTTTGCAGAAAGTATAAGGACACGCCTGACAAGATACGTGCTCTGCTGTGATACGTGCTAAAAAATAGGAGTTAGTTCCAGAAGTGCTAAATCATATGTATGTACTTCTTTGTCGTCCAACTACTGGTGGGCGCAATCTATAATGATGATGCTAAATGATGATGATGCTAAATATCACGCAGAGAAGAACAGAGAATAGAGCACAACAACCAATACAACAACCCCGCGAATCGCGCTTTGTCGTATATTAGTAATAAAGTGCGCCGCCCTCCCACAACAACTTCTCACCGCTCGCCGACGACAAACAGACAATTGAAATGAGACCGTCACAGCGAGAGCTATCAGGACGTTTTTAAAATTTTATTTATGGAGCAGGCGCCAAGTAGAAAACAAGCCGCGAAGAAGCAGAAGCAGACATGTGTCTAATGCGCGCGAACCACGGAACAAGACAAACACCAATCAATAGACCGCAACAAAAGCACAAAGAAACAGCTTTAGCGTCCTCGAAAGGACACGCCGGCAGTAAGGGCGATTTACAAGAAAGTTGTGGGATATACACTAACGCTGCCCGATACAAGTCATCGGCTACTCCCGCCGGAGTGGTCAGTGAGCCTGTGGTGTGCTAAGACATAGTAATTTGCAGTACGTATGCGCAATTGGTGATCGTGGGTTCAAGTCACGGCTCATGAAACAACTGCGCGAGCGATCAGGGTTGTTCGCTGATGTAATTTACCGGCATGTGCAGCTCAATTTTTGGTTTATTGATAATAACAATCATTGTTGAATTGAAACAAGAAAATGTGTTTTTTAATGTATATATAATAATATATCGTTTTTTTTCTGCATGCTGCAGGAAGAAGCAGGAAAAGCAAGACGTACGTGAGGCGGCACGTGCTATTATTATAGAGTGCTGGCGGGAGGGGGAAGAGGAGGAAGAGGTTTGGGAGCAGGAGGAGGAGATTCAGGCTGAGAGGTGGAGAGCAGCCGCACTGCTGGGGAGGAGGAGCAGGAGCAGCAGGAGATGATGCTGGATAAAGATCGAGGCGGAGGAGCAGGAGCAGGAGTAGGAGTAGGAGCAGAAAGAAGTAGACTAGCAGCAGCAAGCCCCTCCAAACCGTCGCTGCCACCACCGCCACCACCACAGCAGCAGCAGCAGCAGCAGCAGCAGCAGCACATCATCTCCACCATTCATAATGCTGAAACCCTGCCCACCACCCCGCCTGCAACCATCACAACAACAATCAAGCCGCCAACACGACAGCCACCAGCAATGATGATGATGCCACGACGGAAGGAATACCCAAACAAGAAGGCACGCCTGCTGTTTGGTGGCGCTGCTGCT